ATTGTTTTTAAAATTGAGTGGGGGGTGCCATATGGAACTCTTACCGGGCAATCCCATTATTCGTTGGTAAAAGAGTAGCCCACGAGTTGGCGGTGGGTGGGGATGATTAGCTGCCTTCCCGCTAGTCTTACACTGCTAAATTAGGGACGGCCAGCGCAGACAGTGCTCGAGTAGCTTTGCGCGAAATTTCACAAACAAACATACTTTCGGCACGATACTGTGGTTTGAACCAATTTAATACACCCACCACACTCCAAAAAAAAAGAAACTGAAAAGGGCTAGTTTTATATTCTTACCGTTCCTGTGTCCATATTTATATTGTGATTGATAGAAAATATGTACACTTAATTTCGTTTTTGATTTACGAACACGCCTGTAGACCAAACACCATAATAATAATAGTGTTGTTACGACGCAACAGTATTAATCCAAATTGTGTGAAATTCACAAGAGAAATACTCCTTTATCTAGAGCAATGACAGAACAATACTTAAGCCACGTGATGAACAATAATGGAGATATAAAAAAGCGTGATCATTTATTATGTTATTTAAAAAAGAACATTTTCCAATTTCCATTTGATGTATCATTACACTCCTCACACTAAATAATATTTCAAGTAATTTTAAACGTCGTCTTTGCCCATTTTTATATTTAAAATTATTATATTCCCAAACTGAATTTGTTCTTCATGTCTTTTTTTCTAACGTAATCTCTGATGTGCTCCTCTTTTTTCAGTAATCGTTTCTATACCTTCTCTGCCCCCAAGTGGCACAGTGGTAGGTTTGCAGACTTACAGCACTAGAAACCTGGGTTCGATACCCGTGGTGGGCAGAGCACATTGTGCGACTTTGTGCTTAACTTCAAACAAACAAATAGTGTCATAAATCAGTACATATTCATAAACTGAGTTCCCTCGCCATTTATAATGTTTTCAGCCGCAAACACAATGATAATTCACGAGATTCAACCAATTTAGGATGCTTGGGTTAGCACTAAGTCCATATTCAAAATCACAGTACAAAATAATCGTCACATTAAAGTGCACAATGATAATAATATTAAAAGTTATTTTAAACTATAACAAATTATATTCATTGTATCAATTTGAAAGTAAAATAGAGTATATTAATATCATTACCAGAGTAGTCATTTATTTTATTAAAGCAGAAAAATGTTGATAGAATAGGTAGAGATATATTTCATCTTAGCATGAGTAATATTTTTAATATAAGTTAAACACATGGCTGTAACACAAGTTGCTGCCTGGCTAGCTGATTAGTTCCGAGTGTATACATATGGCGAGAGAGAGAGAGAATTAAGTAACCATATTATTGTTGAATGACGAAATACGAAGCTAATTTAACTAATCTGAAATATGCGTACTTCATTTAACATAAGATACTTTTTTGAGACAGAAAACTTCTAGAGAAAATTTAGGTCTTAGCTAGATCGTTAATTTAGACGGCGATAAAATCAAAAATAAATGTAATTCAAGTTTATCAAAAATACTCGTACAACTGAGAGTTATTTTACATTCCAGCTGAAGGGCTCTAAGTGTGTCCACACTGCTGATAACATGCACACATTTAGACAGAATGGCCAAGGGGGATTTATCTTGTCTCATCTTATGTTTATAGTTTTGATTTATGTATTACAAACGTTTTACAAAGGCGGGTGAGGTTTCTATAAGCGGATAGTTCCAAAGGACTACACACAGATTTTAACTTGTCTCTATTTATGTTTATATTTTTTATTTAGACATTTAATTGTATTATATGTGTTTTACAAAGGCGAATGGTGTTACTAGGTGGATTTTTGTTACTAAGGTTCTATATGTGCAATATATTACTAAGGAACAATTTGTTTTTCAACGTGTCTCAACATTCAATTACGTCATAAATGTCTAGCTTTAAGTTTTTGTACTAAAGTTACAAGTAAAACTATTAGCTTGGCTTGATGCTATTCCTCTAACTATATAATTATGGTTTTTATTATTCTTGACAATATATTTCATTTTACATGTGTTACTTTATAGTTTTCACTTATATATGTTTTAGAAAAACAGATGGTGTTACTAGACGGATGGTCTTACTAAAGTTCTATATATGCATTGTGTTACTAAGAGACAAATTGTTTTCAACATATCGTCAATGTACATGCCCTAAGTAAAAACCAATATTTTAACGAGAAAACTATTATACCATATTATGCACACATATTATGCTTTATCTGAACTATTATGTATGTTCACTATACTTCAAATGTTGTATCAGCTGGAAAGGTATCAAAGTATTGGTCAAAACACTAAATCAGTCATTAATGTTACATCACTTATTATGGTATTTAATTTTAGATGTGGCAATTCCAGCCGACTCACAACCTTAGGTACTGGGCTATAGGCATTGTCCACAACAGCAATAGACTTATTGTTATGCGTTCAAACGTTCTCGTAAGTTTTTTTTTTTTTTTTGCAGCTCTTTACGAGTATTTGTCTGTATTTTTACCCGGATGGTCTCGGCATGAAATTTCGAGGCTGCCATAAAACATGGGTCCCTAATTTTTTTAATTTTCCTCCTAATGATTTGTTTGTTTGTTTGAAGTTAAGCACAAAGCTACACAATGGGCTATCTCTGCTCTGCCCACCACGAGTATCGAAACCCGGTTTCTAGCGTTGTGAGTCCGCAGACATAGCGCTGTGCTACTGGGGGACACTCCTAAAGAAATAACACTGCAGCAACAACATGTTCTAATTTATAAATCTATTTACCATCAAAATAATGTTTGTTTTTTTATAGATTAGCACAAAACTACTTTAAAAGTGGGCGACATTCTCTCGTCTCTTATAGACACTGTTTATTATTTAATATAAGAACATGAGTAACAGAAACTTAAGGAGCATCGTGTGTTAATGTCATATGACTTTAACTTATCGCTGTTACTACAGTGAACTTTACTAATTTTTCGTAAATATTATAACATTTTCGTTGACGAATTAGTAAAACTAAAACTCTATCATTAAACAATTAAACTTTGAAGAATTATACTATGTATAGATCTTGACGAGTTATATTTGTAAAGTTATATTTAAATGACAATTATGTGAGTTCTAGAACAAAAACAGAAAGTATAACTTAGAAACAGAAAATAATTTCCTAATATACCATCAAATATTAAGAAATTCATGATTGTACACAGGCTTCTGTGTTGTTATGCAGAGTGTAATAATTGAAACATTGGTTTTACTGATTGTTAAGTTTGTTTGTTTTTAATTATGCACAAAGCTGTAACAAGGGCTATCTGTGCTCTGCCCACCACGGGTATCGAAACCCGGTTTCTAGCGTTGTAAGTCCGCAGACATACCGCTGTGCCACTGGGGGGCGATTGTTAAGTTCAGTGACATTGTTAGGTTTTGCATAAGGCCACAATTCTTTATAGTAGAGGTCTATGACTTGTTGGCAATAAATTGCAACAATAAACAGACAGTACACAATCCACTTGTTTTAAAACAATATACTAAAAACAAGTCAATTGTATGTACAAAAACAATTCGGTGCAATTCGTTACCACAGTTGAATCTACAGCTTTAAATAATTATATTTTTTTGTCAAAAGTCCACATAGACTGGTT